AAATGCAAAAAATTCGTATCTGACGCCGTTTGGAGCAAAGTGTGATACTATAGTTGAAAATAACTCGAATGAAATAAATCGAAGGAAATAGGAACGAATAAGTGCATTAGAAATTGCAAAAATTGCAAAAATTGCAAAAAAAGCACAGGCGCACGTTCTCGTAGGAACGTACCTGTGCGCAAAAATGTGCGCAATTAGCGCCCTGTGACAAAAACGCGGAGTGGCTGTAACGAATTTCGTTCCGTGTCGTCTCAGCATATACATGCGGGGAATATCGTGTAACTATCGAATTAGCAAAATTCTTGCATACTATCGTCGATGGTGGAGGGACAGGGGCAGAGACCTGAGATGCACGCAATGATTCCGCATCGTTTCTACGACCTAGGGCTCTAGGTGGTAGCTAAAATGAGAAGATCTTACGGAGCCGCGGTGCGCGAAAGTAGGATAACGCGAAGCATAGTCGAAGACTAACGAAGGGTGACGGAACGAGCCGAGGGGACTTCGGTTAACAGGCGCGAGCAGGAGAGATAAACAGAGCGACGCTGTATGGTAAACGAAGAAGGAAAACAGAGTCACGACGTCCCAACGGGGGGGAATCGGCTGTGACGCCAGCAGAGAGGGTCACTGGTGACGGTGGCGCCCTCTGAACGGCCCAGTCTTGAAAGTAAGGTTAGTCTGTCGCTAGCCGTTTGAGGACGATACACGTTCTGCGCGTGTCTCTGCCGAGTTCACCCTTTCGGTCCACCAGCGACTGTGGAAAATACGCGCGAAAACAGGTGGCTACGCGACGTGACATTCTATCGTGATTCGAGAGTGTTCCGTTAGTGACTGTAGTTTACGTATCGCGATATTTCGTATCGTTTCGTCGGCATTTTCGTGGGATTTTCAATGTGGCGCGCTCTGTTACGGAAAGACCGGTAAGCGTTGCGTAGCGTGCTTCGATGCCCTTCAAGATATTCCGGTGTCAAATTCCATCTCGAGAATCGTTTAGTGTACCGTATAAAAAGTTAGACGCGGACTGCAGTTTCGTGGTAGTGTATCGGTGAATAATACGCAGTTGCAGAAGCACGTTCGAAAATGAGTGACTTGACAGTGGTTCGATGCTGAGACACGCGAGATTTGGCAACGCCTCGTGTCCCTCTGGTCAACCGTCATGGGCAGCTCGTCGGCGTTCCGACGTAACACAGGATAGAGGCAATTTGAACGAATTTAAGAGAGTTTAAAGCACTCGCGGCGCACTGTCACGCGAAACGGATGATCGGGACGACGGTGCACGGATTCTATCGGGAGATTCTCTGGTCGAAGTGAAACGCGCCACGGCGACGAAAAGCGACGCGAACGAGCGTGAGAAAAGAGCGGCTACGTTTCTCTCTGGGACGAGGAACGGCTGAGATATACACACTTACAGGCGGGCTCGTTCGACCGTCATGCTCTATCTCTCTGTCCTTCTCCCGCACCCTAACAGTCCCGTGAGCGGAGTTTGTTTTTTTTCTTTTAAACGTTGACGTATAGTTTATTTTGTTGTGCACTTCATATAGTTTATTTGACTATCTACTCTTCGCGAGAGTGGCCGATAGAAAATATACATCGATATCACGAAGTGAAATTTCCGAGGACTACATCTGGTTATTCAGACAATTACGTGCAATCGTGTGGAACGCTATGCGCCGACGGCTCGGCCAATTCTCAACGGTTCTCTTATTTTAATCTGCTTTTCTATCGGATGCTTAACGTTTCCTCTCGACGCGTTGGAAGAGACGTGACTGAAGGAAGAAATTTGAAAATGGAAGTCGGTCGAAAATGCCCTACGTACCGCGGCAAGGAAAACACCATATGCCCGTGACGGAATCGAGCCGGTGATAAATCACGATACCGGCCGAGAAGAAACAGTGCCCGTGCCGAAGCCGCCATTTTTTCGTCGTATACGTTTTCTCGAGAAACTGTGCCCTCTGTTCTATCGGATATTTATTGCTCAACGACTGTTCAGTTTGTGATAGGAAACTAGTGCAATCGACGGCGTGTGAACTTGTGTAATTTCGTATTATCGCATGTACCGTGTGAGCGTCAGTGTATAAGGTGTACGTGCATGTGTTTATATTCCTGTAGTGCTTTGTAATTTGATAAGCAAAAAGAGGCAGTTCTGACGATGGTGATTCTCGGAAATGGTGTAAACATTCGACGAGTCTTGGTCAAAATATGAGGAGAGCGTCCTTCTGTGACCCGAGGGAATCGATATCGTGCGAAAATGTATCTCACGCGTGTGTTCTTGATGCTTCTGCTGGCTGCCAGCTCGAGGTGCGTTGTTTTCGTTATAACCTATACTTTATGCAGTTATAATCCGCCATATTCCCTAATGCGTAACCGGCGCGCGGAATTCTTTCGATCCCAACGGTTTCGACTCCGATTCGAATCGTAATTATGATCGATAATTTTCACTCGACGAATATACAGGGTGGCTTTCGCGTATAGAAGTGGGTGTCTATAGGGGTAATAAATCGAGCGGTAAATATGAAATAAAAATTCTATCAACGGTATACGATATCGATATTGACCGCGTGAGATGAATATCGTCGAATGTATTATATTTCATCGACGAAATATAGTCGAGGCTAATGTCTAGCATTATTCCACCGACTCGAATGATAGATTCTCGGGGTATACGAACTCGATATAGTGTTTACGTTTGAATTACGAGAAATATGCTTTACGTCAAAGCGAAATTGACTTTTGGTTGGATTTATTGATCGTATAGTAAAATAGCAACGATTTGTAGAATTCCCAGAGGCCATTTTAAATTTCGTATTTATTATTACACGCACGTTTTCAGCGGGAGATTTGAATTTTTAATCGCTGTTTATCCGGCTGGAGCGACTTGTATATTAATATTCGTGTAGTTCACACATTTTTGCCGATAGATGTGCATAAATATGCGCATAAAAAGTATGCTGAGCGCAAAAAGTTGGCGCTCCGCCAGAACCGGTATTATAAATATTGATTGTTCCAATAGTTAACGCGGTTCGTTGGTCTCGTGTTGCCTCGATGAGAGTCAATGAATGGGAGAACTGTGAGAAATCGATCGAAATGATTCGTGTTTCCATTGTATGTTTGTTAAAATGGATATTCTCGATTGCCTGCGGTTTTAAAAATATTCCGTGCAGCTTTCGTATTATACGAGAGATTCGTGGTTATCTATTGGGATCTCGTTTTTTGCATTTTGTCGTCTATAAAATGTAACAAATTTTTTGTGTTTATTTATTTAAGTACTAGGAAATTGTCTTTCGTAATTTACAAAGTTGAATATTTTTTTATACGAATGAATCGGAGTAGGAATAATTTCCTAGAATATTTATTTTAATTTTTGTAATAAAAATTATTCGTCCATCGTGTTTACCTGTTATTTGGAGCAGATGGTGAAAGCATATTACGCGTTAGTATAAAATCATCTGTTATTCACAGGGTAGTTTCGATAAGGAAAAATTCTTTCATAAGGAGTCGAAATTTTTTTATAAAATATTTTACATTTTATATATAATATATAGGTATATGAAATAAACGGTACAGAATAAAAATAACTCCGTAGATAAATTCAGAGTTGTAGATAAAGACATATACATTTTATTTTATTTATATTTATATTTAATATTTATTTTATTTTATTTTATTCTTCATTTCAGGCAAATGATTTTCGTTGTAACATAAATTATCATAGTATTTCTCAGAATATTTTTTAATATTCACGATAAATATTGTTATAATTTAGATTTAGCGTTAGGATTATTTTTATTATTATATATTTTTGTGAAAATCTTTCGGTGTTCGTTATTTATCAAAATTATAATATTTTCTAACACTGCATCAAATGGAGCCAACTTTTCGTCCCTAAATATATGAAAATAAAATGAAAATTTATTATGTCGTAAATTATAATAATATTCATTGGATATAATATTCGGTATAAATTAATATTTATTACGGATTACCATAATTCAAAACTAATTTCAAAAATTATTCTCTTGTCACTACATGTTCTTCATTAAAACCACTTACCATCAGCATACCCGCGCCACTTATGTAGTATATAAATATACATTTTCCTATACTATATTAAATCAGCACGATTTTTCATCAGCCCTCATTAAACCTGATACCACCATGGGGACCAAAATCGCCCTTATAAAATCAGTACATCGTGCTAAAATCTATTCCAATATAAATTACCATAATTACCGTATACATTTTACAAAATCACCAACGTCCATCAACTTTCCCATAACACGAATTACAACAATATTCGATACAAATTAATATTTATCACGGAGCACGGTAATTACTATCATAATTCGTAATTAACGTTCAAAAATTATCTTCTTGTCGCCTTCTTCATCAAAAATCACTCCGATACTTACCATTTATATATACATTATATATATAACTTACACAGTATATAAATACAAATTTTCATACAGTATATCAAATCACCACCATTTTCTATCGATATAAATTATCACGATTACCATACACGTTCTATAAAATCATCCACGTCGCTCAAACTTTCTCCCGACAGAAATCAATATTTATCAATAATTATTATCGTAATTCCGAATTTACGTTGAAAAATGATCTCACTTACTTTATTCGCTCGTTATTTATAATACTTACGAGGCTGTAAAATATTTCCCGACACTCCACCGAATCGACGTTCCTCGATTTTCCGCCATTGAACGTGGCTCATTAAACCCAGTGGCGTCACAGCGAATGAAATCGATGGCTTGCACTTTTCCCCATGATCCGAGGAAGCCGGTTGCTGCCTCCCGTTCTCCCTGCCGCTCGGCTCGAACGCGCAGGGTGTAATTAGCGCTGGAAGACTTGATCACGCGGGCATTAACTAATAATTTATCGCCTCCGTCAATCGCGGTTTCATCAGACCGTTTAATCGATCAGCCCGGTTTCCGCGGACGCCTGCTAGTACGACGATTTTAACGAGTCTGTTACATTCGCAGATGCATATGCTCGAGCGGATACACTGGCCAGAATTGCGAGAACGAGTATATTCCCTGCGACCCATCGCCGTGTAAGAATGGAGGCACGTGTCGTCAGATCGACGGTTTGGATTACGAGTGCACCTGTCCAGAGGGTGAGTTCTCCAATTTTTTCTCTATTACTTATTATTCCGCGGTCCTGGTCAGACCAGGGCTAAGCGGGTGGATGGTGTCAGCGATTTGGCTCGCTATAAAATTCGTCGCAATTGCACTCTGTCGAACGGGAAAATATTTTTCTCCTTTCGTAGCAGCACGATTAATTGGGATATTAACCCTTTGCACTCGGCGATCTTTTCGTTACAGGAAAATAGTAATTCGAAGACATTCTGTCACAGAGTCGACGATATTTCTAAAACGGTAAATAAGAAATCGTATTCAAATTAAGACGTAGAATTATTTTATTTCGATGTTCCAAGCATCGTTGAATAATTGTGAATTTGATTTATTAATTAACATTTATCGTTAGAGTCTGATTAAATGGCGACTGAGAGGCGCCCCTCGAGTGCAAAGGGTTAACCTTTTGCACTAATTTTGCATAGTTTTGTATCGTTACAGTGGCTAGGTTAGGAGACACGTGAAGTATCGGAGGAAAATTTTTATTTTGGCATAAATGGCATCAGTGAGCTTAGAAAAATATAAGGAAAGCTTCGAATTGGTATATTTTTGTAGTAAGAAAATTTTCGAGTGCAGAGGGTTACAAATTTATCAGCATAGGTTATATGTCAGGAAAAATGATTCAATGAGATGGGAAGATCAGAACATTTTTAGTATGATAATTATTAGATTGGAAAAATTTTCGAATTTTAATCAAATTAAGTTCAAACAGTGTTATATAAGATCCTACTATTATTTTACAGGAAAATTTTCGAGTGCAGAGGGTTAAAAATTGATCAACATAGGTTATATATCAGGAAAAATGATTCAATGAGATGGGAAGATCAGAGCATTTTTAGTATGATAATTAGATTGGAAAAATTTTCGAATATTGACCAAATTAAGTTCAAACAGCGTTATATAAGATCCTACTATTATTTTATAGGAAAATTTTCGAGTGCAGAGGGTTAAAAATTGATCAACATAGGTTATATATCAGGAAAAATGATTCAATGAGATGGGAAGATCAGAACATTTTCAGTATGATAATTAGATTGGAAAAAATTTGGAATTTTGAACAAATTAAGTTCAAATAGTGTTATATAAGTTCCTACTATTATTTCGAATTTGAAAATTAAATTAATTTAATTGTAGTAATCACTGATTAATGTCCAAATGTACTTTCCTAATGTACTTTTATAATTTGGTGGTTTTATTGTGTAACAAGTTTAATTTAGAAATTGGACAGACAGAATTAGTGTCTTTCCAAAATATTTCCTGCATCTGTTATTGATTCCTGTTCGAAACGGAGCCAAATTGCTGACATCTTCAATTACATTTTTCGAGGTAAATTTTCCAAGGCCAAGGATTTGCGTCAAACGCTCGAAAGACGAAACTCTGTACTTACGAAACGGATTTCGCCAACACTTTGACGATATAATTGTCCCATAAACGTAGGAAATGTCTCAACGAGCCATTTATTAGACACCTCGTTAACACGTTCCCAACTGTATCCGTATCATCCCCAATTATCTATTTCGTATATTCCGCGTAGCTCGAACAATTAAAAAATAATCGCTGTTATTTTTAAAAACCGGCAAGAAAACACGAGAAACCATAGCAACTTTCTACATAATCCTCGCTGCTATCGTAACTTTTATCAAAGTCTAATGACAGGAAGTGTACAGACAAATCAAGGTCTCCTAACGCGACTCAACTTCCCTTGCTCGCACGGTACATGGGAAATGATCCCGACAGTCAGACTTTTCCGACTTATCTCCCAACAAAATACCTGTGTTATCAAATTATCAAAATCCGAGACCTCTGCATCTCACTCTTTTCCCACCATTTTCTCGCGGAACCCCTATCGAAACGACAGACACCGGTATTTTATAGAAATCCGAGTACATCATACTGAATGTACTTATATTTACGCAAAAATATTGCCCAGTTTTCAAAAATTATTTAGATAGAGACTAGAGAAGGTTAAATTTTAATTTAGTATAAGTTATAGTTAACGAAGTTCGATAGAGTACCGGTATCATAATTTATCAGTTTCATCAACATACCGGGATAGGTATTTCAATGATAGTCTATGTTATAATGATGTAACAGCTAACCCATTAAGGACCAAACATAGAAATGCCAAATTTTGAATTGCAAATTATATCTCCATATATTTCCAATTTAAATGTCTAAATTAGCGAAAGAACTGTTATCATCGCAACTATAAAATTACTATAAAATTGCCAATCTTCGTCAAGTTTGTACCATAATGGGTGAAATCTCTCAGACAACCCCCTTCTGTTCCTTGGTATTTCAGTGATAGTCTATGTTGGTATAGATTCGGTGTAATATCGATATCGAAATGCTATTAACACTTCGACTGCCATGCACTTATTATATTATATTATTCTTAGGATACAATGAAAAATTATTAAGCGAGATTGCAAAATTGGTGCAAATTATTAGTATTTTCTATTCAAAGTTCTTTATTTATTTAACCTTTATTAATTTAACCCCTTGCGCTCGACGATTTTTTGGTGAAAGAAGGGTACGAGTTGAAAAATTTTCTGCTATAAAGCTGATGATATTTTTGTGAGCAGTGAGTAAGGAATCGTATAATAATTAACACGTAGAATTATTTAATTTCGATACCTAGCATACTGTTACAATATTTTAAATTTGATATATTAATTAATATCGAGCTTCGAAATTTTATCAAATGGCGACTGAGTGCAAGGGGTTCAAAAATTTGATATTGACGGACACTGGTGACCACTATGGCTCCACTCAGGAGGCAAACGCCGGTCACTGATGACCGCCATGACAGTCAACGTGTTAAAGAGCTGTTATTTGTTATTTGACTTCGAATCACATTAAAAACAGTACTTGTCAATTGATTCCGTATCGCTTATAGTGACACCAATTAGGAGTCAATTTGTCATACGTCAGCACATTAAGGTTAACAAATACTTACTCCGGCTCTTGACAGCATCTAGAGTAATAATCCTCGTTAATTAGCTACTTGCACCCCGAAAATAACCGATCTGTGGAATATCCATCAGAAAATGGCGAAAAAATCGTCGGTTCTCCATGACATGACATAGAAACATAGAAATGTCCATTTTTAAATCACGAATTAAATTATCTTCATATATTTTTACCTTAAATACCTAAACTAATGAAAGAACTGTTATCATAACTGTCTTAACCATAAAATCTCTTTATATCAAGTTTGCACCATAATGTGTAAAACCTCAGCACCCCAAACCTAACCTCAATAAAGTACTACCTTTCTCACGGATCGTCAAGATCGACGTATCTCCTTGAACTGGTTTTCGTGGTGAGTCTCGAGGAAGAATGTACACAAGGTACCATAGTCCACGGTTACCCCTGGACGCGTAATTTGGGCGCGATGGTGGTGGTTTTTCGATGAAGTCGCGTTCCACGTTCCACTCTGTTTACGTTCGCAAGAAAGCCGGGGCCCGTTGCGCAACCTTGTCCCAGGAATGGACGCACTGGGAGGGAAGGGAAGACAAAAGAGCGCGTCCGCGGGGCAATGATTAGCCGGTGCAACAGGTACGACTTAAGCCTGGGGGTGGCGGCCATTTATGCGCGTACGTACACGGTGGATGGTTAATGTAAAGCCTAGGGTCAGCCTAGCGTGGCCTTCTCGCCGGATCACAATGCGTGGTCCTGTCGTTCCCAGGCGGACCACGACCATGGCGACCCCACCTTCCACGACCACGTCCCTCCTTCGTCTTTTACGCCGCTTTGCGTCGCGAACGCGCGCCTTTTCCCGTTAAACAAGCGCCTGGCCTGTTCCACCTTCGTGCTTCTGCTCTCACCGACCACTTCGCGTCGTTCAAGCCACTCTGCTACCGTTTCCTCGGGTTATCGTCTCGGGAATCGGCGATGTTGGCTCGCTGCTTGCCCGACGCGACGATCCTCAGCGATAGGCGTTAGGGTTGATGCTTGGATACCTTGATCACCTACGAGATCTACTCGAGCAGCTCGGGATTTGAACTTTGAACATCTCGAGACCCTGTTTTGCCAGACATGTCTCATCCTCGTAGTACTCTTCGTATAAAACTGATCGTGGAACTTGCCACGAGACAGGCTTCCTGTAGACCGAGAACAGGTGGTTGCTCGTGCCCCGATTCGACGAGCAAATGGATTCTTTCTGTGATAAATAAGATTGCTATAGAGGACTGTTTTCCTTGCATAGTATTCTTATTATTTTGTCAAAAATAAATTTATTTTATTAACACTTTACCGATCGGTAGCCTATCAACCCTTTGCGGTGGTATGTCTACTCTCAGCCACCGCGGCAAAGAACCATACTGATCTTACATTGTATTCATCGTGTAAATGGCGAAGAAAATTTTTTTTATGAGGACTAGAGGTATGATCTTATAATAGCTACATTTTATACAAGGTGTCAGCTAGAAGAGAAAACAAGACGCCTATTTTTGTCACATTTTATGTTTGTCCGGATGGGTTGCTCCAATTATACGATGATAACAGATTTAGTTAACTTATATCAAGACTTTTAATATTGTAATTGTTTCTAAATTAAAATAATCGTTAAAAAGAAACACGTGGTTTCCTTTAGCTGTCAATTTGACAGGTGTCAAATATGTAGAAAGAGGCATACAGATAGCGTCCGCAAACCTAGTGCTAATTAGATGGATACTAGACTACACGTGGTGGCTTATACTTATACGAACCACCAATACTTCGTTGTGAAGTCGAACTCCGGACCTCCATCATAGGAATTTTCGATTGACACCATTAGATCACACTGCCATTTAAAAACCATTGGAAATAAATCTGTAGTAATAAAAGGAGCAATAAAACTTTAATCGTTAATATTTCAAAAGCTATTGAGTAGTTGCGGCTATAGTGATATATATTTTTGAACTGTATGATGAGATCTAGAAACCTGCAAGGTGTCAACTGAATCGGTGACCCGAAGGACTCGCACCCTCCTTGTGAG